AAAGAAAGACCTCTGGAGTCTGTTTTTTATTTACTGTGATTTAAATAGGAAAAAAAAATCTTAAAACTTCATAGATCTTATGTAGAAGCCTCTCCTGCAGAATCCCCCCAAAAGTGCAATCAAATCTTTAATGATCAAATGCATCTGCTTTGGAGTAGAAGTGACTTGTGTTATTTACTGCTAATACTTTCTGTGGGGTAGCCTGAAGATGGATAGGTAGGAATGGGGTGAGGAGCTTGTGTAACAGAGTTATCTTTGGCTGTAGGACAAATTGCAAATGGATTCCATAAAATCATAAATGTGCAGGAGAAAAAGTTATATTGCCAGCCCACCCCGATGTCAGTATGCCAATAGTGATGATATATCGAAGCTCTGAGGACAGAGATGGGAGTTCATTACTTCTTTAATCTGAGCATTTTATTGTTTTACAATGTAGGACGGAGTGAGAGTACAAAGCTCTTTCCGTGTTGAACTCTTGTTTTCCTTGGATTACCAGGAGTTTATGTTTAGCAGGTTTTCCAAACAAAATACCTCACTCTTTCTTTTTCTGTTTATGCCACATGTAACATTACCCTTTGCTGGTGCGTGCACTGGCAGGTTAAAATTAGACTTCCTAAATGTCAGTACAGCAGCTTGCTACTCGCTTACTTTAACAAGAGCGTGCTACTTTAATTTGTTGTGAATTTCTTGTCTATGTTACTCGAAACAGCAAATAAGCAAAGTCTTACTCAGATGCTTAAGTATATATTTAAAGGATGCACACATAATGATGCGTATTTTGTTTATTCAAGTTTCAATCTGCCAGTGATCAAAATAATAGTAACAATACAAAGTGGCAAATGGATTACAGCTGATTATTCTGAAAGCAGCTTTTGTACTACTAATAATAGCAATAATGGTAGTTTCTAGTTACTGAGGTACTTTACATTGCTTTAAACAAATTTGATCACATGTGCCTTAGAAGAAGAGTTGTTTTTTTTCTTTAAATCTTTGCAGAAATAATGCATAAATGGTGACTTGCAAAGATATAATATTATCTTTTAAAGCGTATGTGTGAGTTTCTATGCCTTTTAAGTCATTTTTGATGAAGAGCATTCTTTAAAAGAAGTAAAACTATTCTTATCCACTCACATCCCTCTCGTGTGATTTGTGATGGTTTGGAGCAGGGCATGATAAAATGCGTACAAAAATGATGCTGGGTTTTGTCTCAAAATCCTCTGTACTATAAGAGGATCTGTCTATCTGTATGTCCCAGCATGCAATCTGATGTGGCAGGGGCATGAGAGGCAAGAAAAGGTGTGGATCTGTAATATCCCCGCATTTCCATGTTTCCAGATATGTGTGAGGTGTGTGTGTGTATGACCCTGTTTATGTAATATGGTAACAACCATGCAACAGTACATTTTATATCTCCTTCAGCCACTGGTTGTTAATATCTTATAATTGTGCTTATTTCTGGTCTCATAAAAGCTTTGGAAGACTGGTTCTGTCTAGCCTGGATTTCTTTTCTGGTTCCCTAAAATACCAGTGTCTTAGCCTATTTTTTCCTATGTTGCTTTTCTGACTCCATCTTGCTCGTGTGTAAGAAGTATTCTACAAGTGGTTGGCTGAAGTCTCACAATCCCTAGCCCTTGTTCTTGTGGGAGACTTCAACTTACCAGATCTCTGCTGGAAATACAACACAGCAGAGAGAAAGCAGTGTCGGAGGTTCCTGGAGTGCGTGGGAGATGAGAGATTTTTTTTTTCTGTAATCAAAAGGCTGAAAAGCAAAATTAAGCATGAAGAAACTATCCTTTGTATCACAGCAACAGGAGTAACTATGTAAAAAACAGCCAGATTAAGCACACTTCTTTTAAGCGTTAAATTTCAGTGTGTCCTTTTTACCATGTGTAGTCCATCAGAAGCTGAAAATAATTTTGATATGCAGCCTGAATAATAAGGGAAATTATATTGCTTTGCAGTTTCACAGAATTATTTTTTCCCAGTCAAAAAAGAATTTAGTAGAAAGTGATCCAGTGTTTAAACAACTAAGATTTGTGTTAACATTTGGTGGCAATTAAGTAACTAGGAAAAGTGTTGGAACTGAACAAATATATCAAATAAGGATAACTCTAAAATATATATATATAGCAAAGAACAACTATGCTCTGTGTGTGTGTAAAATTTGTACACTGGTAGAACAACAACTTCAAACCAATGAAGCAGGGATTGTGGCTGTTAATATTTACAAAATCCTTTATGACATTCTATATGTATAGTTTATCATTTATTTGAATCATGTTGATGAGATAATGTTAAAATACCTTCCAACATGGACTGAAGAATTCATCAAGTAGATGCAAAACAAAAAAAAAAATAAACATTTAAAACATTTTTAAATTCATCAAAATATTTAAGTAGGCTTCAATTTATTTATTTTTCTTCATTTTTCTTACAAAAATACTGGCAGGATATTTGTTCTTTATATTATAGTGGTCCCAGCTAGAAGACATTGCACATTGAGAAGTTAGTACTCCACGTAACAAGTCAACCTGAGTGTAGGCATGTACTGTGCCCTGCCATAGTGCACATTTCATTTGGTCTTCAGGACTGTGCTGTACCCATCCCTTTATGTGGGATGAGCTTAGCCGGATAATCGTAACTAAAGATCTTGGAGGCAGCACATAGTTGCCATCAGCAGTGATACCACTGGCATGTCCTTGGCTTTATCTTGAAGTGAAGTAACATGATTTTCTTCTATGCCATGGTACTTTTAAGAAAATCCTAAAAAAAACCCTTTAAAGACCACAATACTGGTGAACAACACCACAGACAGTATGCATAGAGCATGCTGTGACCTGACTGGGGGTGTATCCAGTTTTGCACTACCTTGGCATTCCCAGCCTCAGAAAGGATGTAAGATTTTTAAACTAAAAGAACCAGCGCACCTCTTCATGTGCAACACGTATGAACTAAAGGTCTGGTATTTGAAAAGTTGTAGTAGCAAGAAACCTAGCCTGAGTGCCAGACATTTCCCAAAACATAACTTTATCAGCCAGCTGTTTTTTTCTTTCTCTTTTAACAAATGCATTTGTCAAACAAACACATTCCTTCATTATTATGTAGAGGTTCTGGCTTGTTATGATCCTAGTAAGAAAGGCATTCAGATTCTGTACCTCAGGACAAGACATGGACCTGTTGGAGCAGGTCCAGAGGAGGGCCACAAAAATGATCAGAGGGATGGAACACCTCTGCTATGAGGAAAGGCTGAGAGAGTTGGCATTGTTCAGCCTGGAGCAGAGAAGGTTCCAGGGACACCTTATTGCGGCCTTTCAGTACTTAAAGGGGGCTTATAAGAAAGATGGGGACCAACTTTTTAGTAGGGCCTGTTGCGATAGGACAAGGGGTAATGGTTTTAAACTAAAAGAAGGTAGATTCAAACTAGATATACGGAAAAAAAATTTTACAATGAGAGTGGTGAAACACTGGAACAGGTTGTCCAGAGAGGTAGTAGAATGCCCCATTCCTGGAAAGATTCAAGGTCATGTTGGACGGGGCTCTGAGCAACCTGAGTTGAAGATGTCCCTGCTCACTGCAGGGGGGGTTGGACTGGATGACCTTTAAAGGTCCCTTCCAACACAAACCATTCTATGACTCAATGATTCTATAAAAGGTTACTTATTTGAGCTAATATTATAAAGAAAGAGGATAGTCTCTTCTCCCAAGTAAGAAGTGATAGGACTAGAGGAAATGGCCTCAAGTTGCACCAGGAGAAGTTTAGATTGCCTATTAGGAAAAATTTCTTCACCAAAAGGGTAATCAGGCACTGGAACAGGCGGCCCAGGGAAGTGGTTGAGTCTCCATCCCCTGAGGTATTTAAAAGACGGGTGCTTGAGGACATGGTTTAGTGGTGGACTTGGCAGTGATAAGTAAACAGTTGGACTCGATAATCTTAAGGGTCTTTTCCAACCTTAACGATTCTATGATTCTATGATTCTATGTGTGCTGCCCACATCGAGGAGAGAGCAGTCCCGCTGCCTTTGCCCTCATGAATGCTTACACACAGTTTCACTGAAAACACTATCTTGCCTACTGTCTCAAGGATTAAAAACAAATAGAAAACAAACCTCTTCATTTACTGCTTTATACACAGAGCAAAACAGGAAATACATTGTGTAATAGACTTTTAGTTAGTCCCTGTCTCTGAGAAAACCCATTCCTCATACAAGGCAAGAAGACGCCATTTGTCTTGACGCTCTGATAGATAGCTTCCAAATGCAATGCTTTCCATTAAAATGGACATTCTGAAACAGCACATCTCTGATCTTTAAATTTAAAATATTAGCCTGTGATACAGCAAGTATATACACGCGCATTTAATTTCCAGCATGTGAATATTTGCATAGTATTTGTGGACACAGTTCTTTGCTATCTAATTTCCTTGGATACTAAAAAGAGTACTAATAGCTGTCACTGGCCTTACTATCTTTCCTCCTGTCCCCATGCAGCAAGCAGGACACTTATTTTTGCATGGAAATTAGAACTGGAAGACAGTTTAGTCCATCTCTCTGCTAACAGTGGTTTGTTACTGATAGCATATTTACTGGAACTTTGTCCAGTATACTTATCACGTATTACCAACCACAGAGTAGAGCTTACTGTCTTTCCTGGAATACATATCATTCCTACAACGTCATTTCTGATATTCTGCCTACAATATCCTTTGCTTATATTCATCACAATGCTTTAATCATAATCTCTTGCACAAGCCAAAATAATCTTTTTCTCCTCAGGCTCACATCTTGCAATACACACAGCTTTCCATATGTTCCAGTTAAATTACACTTACTTACCTTCTACTTTGAAGATAGTAAGGTGAGGTCTGCAGTGAAAAGCACCCAGTGCGTTGCCGGCACAGTTCATCCAAAGACCCTGGAAAACCCAGGTTGCAGTGATAACAGATGATGCCCGACTAGTGACTTTCCACTCATTCGATGCAGTAGCAGCAATAGCAGCTCCCAGCCCACAGAAACAAAATATGAAAGCTATAATCTGTATTCCTAGCATGTTTCTCTGTAACTCAGGGACTTAGTAATGCCTCTGCGTGGAGAGAAAAGTACTTTAGTCATGTGAGTAAGCAAAAAGGCATAACATAAGCAAATTATGCTTGAACAAGTTCAAGTAACATTTGCTACAGAAAGTTAATGTGGCTGAAATAAATTGTCATGCTTGAGTGATTTAAGAAAGGCCCTAGGCATTACAAATGTTTAGAAAGAAAGTCAAGGTACAACTTTATGGGAGCTAATTACTAGTACTAATTGCTAATTTCTAATTGTAAAAATTAATTAAAATGTTTTCTATTTTTTTTCAATTAAGGTATTCCAGTTAATGCTTAATTTTTAGTTAATTGGAAACTTACAACCACTGCATCTAGCAAAATAAGTTCAGAGTCCAAACTGTACAGCGCTATTTAACAGATTACCATAACATTTTAGAAGGATTACACAATACTTGAAAAATAAATTTTTAAAAGGCTGTGAAATTAATTCAGCCATAACTAGCCACCACACAAGCAGCTCTAAAACAGTAGCATCTTGGAGGCTGTGTCTGTGGATGTCTTTGTAGAATAGCAAATCTGGAGCTACAGCAGCAACAGCAAGCGGTCCCTGGTCAGTGATGCAGCTGCAGTAGTCAGCAGAATGAACCTTGTGTAGCCCCCATTGTGACTTCTTCTTTGGTCAGCGGAGAAAATTTACTGCTTCTTACCGTATGTCTGCTCTGCACGATGAACATAGCGCAGAAACAGCTGTCCCACCACTGACTGAGCTCCTGCAGCCTCACGCCATGAAAAATCCTCAAAGAATATCACTGATATAATAAAATGTCATCTTTAAAGTAAGCAGTGACAGCACCACACTGAAACAGTTATTCTATTTCCAGTTCCTGAATATACTATCACTACTGGTGTGGGACCTACACATGGTTTTGCAGATGTGTGTGGCCTTCACTCTTTTAAGATGCTGACTTCCAGCTTTATTCATGCCTCTCCTCATCCTCTGGTCCTTTTGGCCTCCCCTCTGAAGGAGGAGCATGCACCTCTTCTCTTTGGTGTTACTGTATGCCATTTGGTGACATGAGATCACCCTGCATATTGAGCATACACCATCACTTTTGACAATGAAAGTAGTCTATTTTTTTTCCCTTTGGGTGTTTCTAGTGTTGCTTCTCCCTGTTACAGCTGTGATAAACACCACACTGAACTTCGGCATCGGAGTTTTTCTGTTGACTTTTCAGAGCTCAAGGAGGGGTCATCAAGGATGCTAAAACATCATTGACATTCCATGTAAAGAGCAAGAGGTTTTACGGAGACTGTCCTGCTGAACCATCACCTGATACTTCCACTTTAACCAGCCTTTGGCTCAGCGCTGAGAAGTAGGACCCAAAAGTATGATTATACAAATGAGAGAATTACACTACAAGAATGAATCTCTTTTCAGAGTAATTAGTAGGCTCACATCCCACACATCAAGGGCAAATAGAAAGCTTTTTATTAACACAGCCAGCCTGAGAGACATAGAAAGTGGTTTTGCTAGAGAGCAACACTATAATAGAGCCGGTTGTTTTAATGATAAGGACAATATTACACAGACAGGAAGCAATTTTTCCTTGCTGTCAAGTAATGCAGTAACATATTTTTCTTATGGCAAGGGTCAATCTTCATGTAATCCTTCATACAGCTTTTTTCTAAATTTGAAAGGATATAGAGGAGACTACAGAAATGGGTCCATCTTTGAAGCAGATTCCTGAGAGCTGCTAATATTTTTTGGTTCTACCTCTGCCATACAAAATGGTGGGGGTTTTTGTTGGTTTGTTTTTTTTTTTTTTTTTGTGCCTCCTCAGTAAGACCTCATTCTTTTAAACCAGGTATTATGCTAGGAAGGGGCTTCACATTTCTGTTTCTAGATAAGCTGCAATACAAACTCCTAAGTCAACTCCCCTTCGCACTCCTAGATGATCGTATACAAAGGACCCATCCAGTACACACTCACTCATGAGTGTCATCCTCATGGGACACTGAAAGCCACTTACTTTAGTGGAAAGTGCCTGTAGGCACCACTTGAACTGTAGACTACACTTTTAGGGCTTAAGGAGGACTTAGTGGTTTCTTGGCCTTTATCCTGATTCTCATCTAGTGCATGACTTTGTGGAATTCATGGTTACAAGCACTTCACCCTGCACTGTTTCTAGGCAGTTAGTGTGTGAGTGATGAATAAATTAAACAGATACTTAAGTGATAAGAAAGAAGTAAGCAGTCCTGTTTACAACCCTCATTTCTTCTATAAACTGTCAGGAAGTAAGTTAATCAGTCATTTAAGAAGTTCAAGGCAAAGTTGAAAGTTAACCTGTTAATGGCATTTTCTATTATATCAAAACTTCTTTTCCCTGTTACTGAACAGACAAAAGTTGGAAAACAGGTGGGAGCTTAAGAAGTGTTTAAATACAGAGTTGGAAAAGGGAAAACACAGGCTACAGGCCTTTGTTGAACCATTTTCCCAAACCTCCTCAAATACACTATCTAAGCATGGGATGCACCTCTGGCTCTGTTTAATTGAACACTGTGTCAGTAACATGTAATGTTTCTATTACTACTGATATTCTCTTTTTAAATCAGTCCAAGGCCAGCTTTTTAAAAAAACAGCTGATACCTTTGCAGCACGGCAAGAATGTTTATACAGGTAAGCTGTAGCCTCCAGTTTGCCATTTCTACTTCAGCCTATGTTAATTGTTGTAACCTACTAGCTGGAGGAGTTCCCAAGGCTGGTATGTTGGCTGATACAGACCTGACTGCTGACAATATATGTTTCCCTGATGAAGACATACAGACTTAGCTAAACTGAATTAGTTGTGGGGAAATTTATGGTAAAATTAAAAAAAGAACAAAGTGCAAATCAATCCTGATGTTATCTGGATAAGAGAAAGGAGAGCTCTGCAGAGGAGGTAGCTAAGGTAATAGGAAGACAATGTGCCAGATAAATAACTAGTAACGCTAAGAGATCCCTCTGCAGAGTGGGTGGACAATGCAAATTGATCCTGAGTGCTGTGGAGGAAGTTATGAGAGGCCTAAACAACCACGGAGAATTTGGACAAGTGGTAAAACTAGAAGTTACAGAGGCTGAATAAGTGACTCAAGACTTCTGGAGAAGTTGAAGAAATAAAAGCATTGTGTAAAGTGCTGAAGAAATCAAAAAGCCTGGAGACATCACTCGACACAGGCAAGGGCTAAGCTGTATGGCAACATGGGTGGGCAAATAACACAAAAGCAAAAAGGGTTCCTGAGAACTGGCAGTGACGTATGAGGTAGTGTTGAAAGCGGGAAGGGTGCATTCCAGTTGAGTGCCAAATCCTGCCGACGCTTCCGGATGCATGCACCCTGGAAACTCTAGGTAAACAGTGTAGCAGGTGAAGGCTGAAGGGGCACCACCTAGAGAGGAATTTCAAGGAGCAACGAAATCACTGGAAATGGGAAAGTTGAGGGAAAAGATAATTTCACAGTTTGCTATAGCAAAAGGACAACATCAGGTTATAGTGGTATGAAGCAGTTGCCGTTTGAGATGTTTGCTGCTCACCTTGTTACTCACAGAGTGCTGGGTCACATACACAGTTAGAGAAGGTCATCTCAGGTCTTATGCTCATTCCAAATTTGTTGCTTTTTATGAGCACTGCAGTCACAATACAATAATATGATTATAATATTAGTGTTACATACTATAGTATAATCCTATTATTAATAGCGCAGTTATGTTGCTGTAGAACAGAAAGAGAAACTTCATATAGTCATCACTAGGAGAATTGCTTTGAGAATATATGGATACAGCAGGTAACTCAGTTAAGGATTTACACTGACTTCATACAAGCTAGGTATACGTGTGTTTAAGAATATACATGAATATGTATATTCATGTATGTATGTATTTAATATCTATATAGATACAAGCTATGCTTTATTTTTAAGCATTTTATGTTAGTTGTTTAATGGGCAAACTACTTTCTCATGTGCATTATTTACATGAGCACTTTTTGAATATTTGCCTAAGAATGAGCGGGATTTTGAACAACTGGTTCAAATCAGTGTTTGGTGGGAGAATAAAAATACACGGGATTAACCTGGGTTTTTTCATCATGTTTCTTAACTGGGCATTAAGGATAAGAGATGGATTTGAAAATGTTACTTTTGGATCATCTAGCATTAGAGTCCTTAGTTTATGCTGTTGACACTGGACGCTAGCAAACACATTTGGATTAAAGGCGTTTGCTGTCGTTAAGCGTATCGTTATTGTTGGCACACTCTGCCTAGTCTTGCAGTAAGTGGCAGAAAGCCAAAAAGGTCGCATCTACATGGAACTACAAAACGCAGAACACAAAAATGCAGTGAACTCGAAATGGTAGGACAAGTCATATGTTTGATCAGTGCTAAAAGCCAGGGTGAAATTCAAGGTCATTGTGCTTTGCTGAGAACTTCTGGACAGACATTGATGAAGTGATGAGCTCAATGAAGACATCATGTTTTTTATAGAGCAAACTCATCAACCCAGCCACTATTAGAATTAGCCTGCGCTACAGTATATTGACAGCATTACTGGAAGCAGTAGTATTAGACACGAACAAGCACCAGGGTGCTGTGGACAGAAGAGTTTGTAAGGTGTCAGATACAAAGCAAAATGATTGCGACACCGATGAAGAAGGAAGGAGGCTGTGAAACAGGGAAACAGGGTAGTAACAGAAATACTGTGATGTAAATGCTACAGATAAACATAAACGCTGAAGAAAAACATCACAATGCTGAAGAAAAGCCTTACATCCAAGTGAACTCAACCTCGTGAAAACCCATGTAGGGGCCCTGAGTGCATCCTCTCCTCCCTTCCAGCCAGTGTGGTGCTGC